TTGGGTCCTGCCAAACTGAATGGCATCAAAAAGTGATCTTCAGGATGGCTGAGAAAAGCTGATGGTATTTATATCCATAACCCTTCCTTCTGTCATAAAATCACAGGTCCTATGAGATTGTCCTTCAGCTCCTACTTGCCAGTTTCTGTGTGACTTTTATTCTTACCCCTTCAGGTTTTAGGAGATGTAATACTTTCTAGCCTTAAGGTCATTCGCTATCCCTCTTCTGTTTCCCTTTTACTGTCTACCTCATGTGCACACACCCTTGATTAGACTCTTTGCATTGTATAATTTAGTGCATCATTGATTTCCTGATGACAACATGACTTACATGTTGGTCGATCTGGGTACATTTACTGAGTTATGTGTGTGTGTTGGCAGTAAATGAATGAAGGGAAGAGTGGAAAAGGGTTGCTTTTATATGTATTTTTTCCCTTCAAAATCCTTTTCTATCAATATGGTTGGCTGTCATATTCAGATGAGCCTCCCACTAAAGTAATTTATAATATGGCATAAGACACAAAGCAAATCTTCACAAGATGTAAGAACTATCCAGAAAATAATTACTAAGTCAAAAGTTTAGGTTGTGATGAGAACATAAGTCAGCCAAATCTGTCTTTAACCTAAAAGACTAATGAATCTGGATAAACTTTTAATCTTGATGACCTTATAGAAATAAGGGTCAGAAGGAAAAGCTATCCGTCTACTCAATTTGGAGGGAATAAATAGTTCTAGAAAGATACTCTTTCTCCATAAAGTAGAAGCCTTAAATAATTGCTCTCCCTGGTCCCTGCCAAGAGACTGCAAAGAAATATACTTGGCAGAGAGCAGTGCAGACACCAGGAAACCCTGGAAATTCATAAATCTAGGATAACTCTAGAAAAATACAAAAATAATTTATAATTTCTAAAATTATAGAGGGAAAATATAATGCCAAAGCCCCCGTAATATCTGGTGTAAAGAGGAAATCCAAATTAAAATGAAAAATGTAAGCAAAACAACAGACTAATAATCATTTTAAATGTAATCAAATGTTCCAGTTAAAAGATGATCAGACTGTATTTAAAGTACAAATTAGTCACTTTTTTTTTTAAAGATTTATTCATTTATGCTTAGAGAACTGGGGTAAATGCCAGAGGTCTGGGGAGTGAGAAGATTCACCAGAGACAGGGTGGGGAGAAGAACAAGCAGATTTGATATAGGCTGCTGAGGGGAGCAGAGGGGGGTCAGGAGAGGTCTGCCACACAATGTGGGTCAGCTCCCTGGCAGGGGATCAAACTCATGCTGCAGTGGCTTCAGAGAGCTTCATAATGTGGTGCTCCAACCCGTTGCACCACCAGGGAGAGCCCCACAAAATTAGTCAATTTTAGTAAAAAAAAAAAATATATCAATTGAAAGAGATATACAGAAAGGTTGAAAGTTTAAAAAAAAAATGGTGCATCCTAACTATCCCACCCAAAAGTAGTTTCTAAATTAGTAACAGATCAAATGAAATTTAAGACGAGCATATTAGGCATAAAGAAAACCACTTCATCTGTTAAATGTGTTAAATAATCCAAATAATGTATTTGAATTTATGAATGCCTAAGAAATTAACTGAAAATATATAGAACAAAAACTGAATAAGATAAAGTGGATAAATTTAAAATTGTATGGGGGGTTTCATGCTAATAATAAGATATAGAGTATTTAATGATCTAATTAAGGAATGTAGTAAATTGATATAAATATAACTCTACCATTAACTAGTATACAGTATACACACACTTTTCAAACATACATGGAATAGGGATCATATCATAACAACCTCAAACAATTGAAATTATATACGTAAAACATACAATTAACGCATTTTTAATAAAAACACCAATTGCTTATATTCTATCTCAGGAGATTATCACATCAATATCTAAATCATGGCAAAGTTTGAGAAAAGCCTAAGGCCAACTTGAGTAGAATTCTAAAAAGCTTTCTTCTTTAAGATATATATTAAATGTGTATATATAAGTATACACACATATATATATTAAATGTGTATACACACACATGCACACATTGTTCTTCCTTTCTGTACGATGCATGCTTTCTCCTTTCAGGGGTAGACCCACAAAATTCCCAACACCAAATCATCCATGCACCATCACCATAGTCCCTAAAATGCCTTGTATAAGAACATTCCTTCCCCTGTTTTAATGCCTCTTGGTCACCTCCCCTGCTGAGTGTCTCTGATTAATAGTTCCCTGTTCATTTTGTTTTTGTTTTAATTTATGATAATTATTTTTTTCTTGTTCCCTGATTTGATTTCCCTACATTCCTCCTATATGTGAAATCATACTATATTTTTATTTTTCCTTATGGCTATTTCACAGAGCATAATCTCTTGCTGCTTCATCTATGACACTGCAAATGGCATGAATTTATTTATTTTTTTTGATTGCTAAACAGTATGCCATTGTGAGGATATGATATATACATTGTTTTTCAGAGGATACTAGGGCTTTAAACTTAGAGAAACTTGCAAGGCATGTTTGGACAAGAAGAAATAATGGAAGGAAATAACGTATAGAATCAGAGACCCTGTGGAATATCTGGTAGTTTCTAAGTTAAAAAATGGAGCTGTCAGCCTATTATAAAAAGAGGATTGTCAAAATCTGATACTAGGTTATACTCCAATGAATTTTATCACACATAGAAATTACAGAGTTGGAAATTTTGGATTTGGAAGGAATGAAAGATACTTCAAAAATGGTGTGATATAAATATAAGTAACTGCACAAATTGCCAAGAACCACTGAAAATTGAAAAAAAGAAGTTACTTTGATTTTGATTAAGAGTGAATAACTGAGGTTATCTTTAAGTTTTTAAGAAAACAAACAAACAAACAAACAAACAAAGCTACAGAATGAATCTATGCTGAATACTTTGCTATCATCAAAACTTTCAAGATAGAAAGCTAGATTGTGAGGAAGTTCTGGGTGAATGACAGATCTGTGTCACCCTCTGTAAACCCAACCTGTACTCCCCAGGAAACAGAGAATCCACTGTACTTTCTGTGGACTTTGGACAATAGGTTTCTCAGCTATGTTCACTCTATTTAAGACCCTTGATGAACAGTCCTTCAAAGTGATTTCTGAAGCTTTTTTTCCTTTTGTCCAAGAACTTCAGACTGACACTCATAAAGGCTGATCTTTAGTTCTACAGATTACTTTGTGATAGCTTCCAGCTCAGACTCCTAGGTTCATAGTGAAACTGGCTGCTGAAGAGCCATAAAATTGGGTGTCACCATTGCACAGTCATCAGTCTCTCTCTTTTTTTTTTTTTTTATGGAAAATTCCCATCCCATCATATCTATGAATGTTATGGAGAAATTTCTGAAGCAAACTACAATTTTACTCATACTCTCCAAATTGATGGCTATAAGTTATTAAAGTATACCATGCTCTAAAATGAGTTTTTAGTGTTATTATTATATTTTGGGGTCTACTAAGGAATGATCTCTTTGGAAAGTGTCAAAAAGAGCCACACCATATCATATCCAAATCTATTACCTACTTGATAGGCAATGAAAAATTTGATGTGACATAACTTAGAAAGTAGGACAAGCTTGCTCAATACTGGAGTTGTAAAGAGGTTTTAGGCTGTATCTCAGGTTTACTTCTAAGCTTCCTACATGCTGTTAACTTACAATGCAAATATATCTGTAGAAAAATCTCTTGTTTTGCTGTCACCGTTGTGCAGACATTTAACATCTTAGGGAGGAAATTAATATAATTAATTGATAAGAAAGATGCTTGCTAACATAGCATTTTATAGTGTAAAGAAGTATTCAGACACATTGGAGACAGCTGAGATAATATCAACAGAAAGTTGGATATCCTTCTATTATGCAAATTTTCAAGCTGGTGGAGGGGAAGTGGAGGTGATAACAGGGCTGGACAGTGGCTAGAATACAGTAGGGACCCTTGAGTGCCTAATGAATCCATCAGCTGTTTAATTAAATTCCAGGTAAAATCTGCTCTCTTCCAGACCTAGTGCTTTCCTGACAACTAAACTATTATTACAGTTCTGTTTACATATTTTAACAAACACATCCCACAATCAATTTGTGGGGCTTAAAATAGAAGACTGAAAAAACAAAACAAAGTGTTCCTTGAGGGCTTCTTCAATCCTGCTTTGAGGACACAGGCTTCTCATTGTTTTCTGTATTCCCCATTTTGCTCAATCGATAATCAGTTTAGGAGGCTCTCAAGCTATAGAACTTGAAAAACCTATGTCTCTACAGAGGGCAATCCTGAATGTATTCAGATATTTTAACGGTATCTTCAAAACAGTGTTTTATGCTTTTGTTGTCAAGGGAAAACCAGATGAAATAAAATATGGATAGTTGAGCCTCCAGGTCCCGACACAAAAACAGACCTCAAGTTGAATTTTACAGCAACTAGATACAGATTTAACAATATGTAAAGAGAGAAGAGAGTTTCTTCCTTAGAACACTGAAGCTGAGGCTGGAGGCAGAAATAGGATGCAGCCCATGGCTTTCATCCTACCACAGGTTTTTTTTTAACTACTTCAGTTTTTGACTATGTGGTCCAACAAGGCTAACAAACTATACTGCAACATACACACACACACACACACAAACTTCATACCCCAGATCACTGACTGCTATCCACTGAATCTTGCAGGCAACAAGACTGAATGGGAAACTATGTTTAGAAGATTTTCATGAATGTACAGAATGCTTTATTTGTAAAGCTGTTTTTCTTTGTTGGTATTCAAAATACTTTTCTTCTTTTTCAAAAATTCTCAGTTGGTCAAATTTCAGTCTTAATTAAAATAATTGTCAAAACTATCCCTTAAAGAACAACAGATAAGAGCTCCTCTCAGCAAAAAAATCACTGTTTTAAAAAAATGTAAATCTGTTGAATTAAAATATTTTCTTTTTTTAAACTATTCTCTTTACAAAATTACAGAAGACAAAAAGACATGAAATACTTTACCATTATTTGGAAGTTGTAGAGGGTCACAGGCACCATTTTTTATTCTGTCTTTTGACGGAGACATCAGTTTTGCAACAAGAGATGCTGATATAGGCTGCACTAGCAGAGAGGTGAGGTTTGGTCGGTTTTGTCTAAAGCTTCCATCTGTATTCAAAAGAGAAAGCCTTAGTAAAATAAAAACACACAAAGTTTTTTTTTTTTTGGTATGTGTTTAAGTTATAACCAATAAGTTTATTTTAGTTCACCTCTTAGTTTATTCCTTAGTTGTTCTCTACTTATGAAAAAATACGAAGTCTTAATATTAACAAATTAGCCCAATTACTATTATGAATTCTAGTTAGCAATGACAGATGAATAAATTCAATGGGCCTAAGACAGTATCAATAAAATGTTAGAAGCAGGGAAGCAGATGAATCAAGTGTCAACTGATGTAACAGATCCAAGATAACCAGGGCTTGCTCAGCTGTGAGGAAGGTGAGAAGCAGTGTAGTTTATAGCACAGAATCCAGGACTGGCAACATCAGCTGCCAATAGAAGGAAAAACAAAGGAAACAGGAGAATTTGATAAAATTCTTTTCAATCAGGGTTTCTCTTCCTAAACACAATTTGCATAATTAATACCTGTCTCATCCTCCCACAGCTAGCAGAACAATGAGAGAGATTGAAAAGGAGACACCAGATACAGTGAAGGGTAAAACATACTTAAAATAGGGTAATGTTATGATTTCTCAGACTCTTCAGATGGTTTGCTTTACTGGTGCTCAGAATCTTACTTTTCAGGCAGTGTAAATATGACTAGGTCAATGGAGAATATATTTTTAAAAATGCTAACAATCTAGGTGTCTACCAATATAATGATGACACATCCAAGACATTCTATGTCAAAATCACTCAATCAATAAATCCCACCATATGCAAAACTTAATTTGCCATTCTTAAGTAGGCATTCTCAGTCAAGGACATTCCAATGTATTTCAGAGCTACTGAGAACAAGAGAGAGGTAAGGAGGCTTGGGAGGAAATTCTCTAGGAAAACAAAATTAATAGAGGCACAAAGGATTAAGTCTTAGAATTATGATGGTATGGGCAGTCACTGCAGCATGAGTTCAATCCCTGACCAGGGAGGTGACCCATATGGCACAGCAGACCTCCTCTGCCTCGCCCCTTGATCCTCTCAGTAGTGCATTTCAGTGCATCTGCCTGTTCTGCTCCCCACTCTTTCTCTGGTGACTCCTCTCACCCTCCATATCTCAGACTTACAGCCCAGTTCTTAAATGTATAAATAAATTAATCTTAAAAAGAAAAGAATAGAGCTATGAGATTAATGCTAATATGGATAGAGAATATTTACTATAGTATCAGAGACTATACTTGAGGAGTTCCTAGGAACACATAAAAACAAGTCATCTATAATATGAGACAGCTATTAACTTCAAAAGGAGAAATACACGGTTATGAAATAATGCAATCATTTTACACTTTGAATAAAATTTGTATGGTCTTATGAATACAGTGATTTTTAATGCAGACATTGATGTCATTTTTTGTTTGTAGCATATAATTTTAATTGAATTAACTAATCATGGTTTCCAACACTGTATAAGTTTTAGAACTACAGTCACTCCTCTTCAAATGCATGTTATCACACCCTGCCTGCCACCAAATTACTAGTAAACACAGTTCATTGGACATCCTCACCCTTGTCTTCCACCCCAGCCCCCTCTACTATCATTCTTTAGGATAAAAGTGAAAAGGGTAAAATACAGGACTGAGGGTATATGGAGACCCATCAAAATATGTTAAATATTTACCCCTCAGAGTGATAAATCATTGTAATGAATAACACTGAAAAATAAATTAAAAGTTGGTGAAAACTAAAAATGCCGAAAACAATTAAATATTTGCCTTTTGAGGGATAAAGGGGAGAGGAGACACATGAAGGATGGGGGAATGGGAGGAATCGTTACACAAGCTTCTTCCACTATCAAAAACTAGAGCATTCCCTGAGCTTTTCATAAGCCAGAAGGGCAAGGTGAAGAAGCAATTTCATTCTTTATATGGGGAAAAAAATAGCATTTCCAAAACCAAACCAAATCTATTATGCCATGACAAATACATAAAAGCTAAAAATAACATTAGTGTATAGTAAAGATAGTGTGATGTTATAGGACACACCATAGGTCACAGCCTGTAGAAACTCCAGGGAAGGAAGGGACTTAGTTGTGTCACTGTCACTGCTGCACACAGGTGCTAAACACTGTTTTCACTTTGTGTCTTTTGTCAGGAATGTAAAAAAGCTATTTGCATTTCTTTTGTTAGTGAAACTAGATACTAATATAGGTCTTCCCTAAAAGCAAATTGGTGTAAAAAGAACTCTCAAAAGATGGGAGAACCTGCATTTTTATAAATTAAGCTTTGTAGAAATATCTAACTATATTACTTTAATTATTTAACCAAGCCAACACTGGTTCACAACACTGTGTAATCCAAAGGACATTTATAATTTTGAAAAAGAATAAAAATTAAGTAAAAGCAATAAAGAAAACGTCTAAAAGAAAACATCTATGATGCCAATAAGAGAAATGTACACCAGGATTCAGAATAGAGAATGAAGAGAACAAACTATGCTTAAGGAAACAGCTAAAAGACATTTAGTTTATATAATTTATACTGACTCAGAAGAAGAAATACGCAAAGGCATGCTTCTATTAGGTAGCCAATAACGTTTGATAAAAGTGCTATATTTTTCAGAACTTTTATTAGGAAAAATAATTGCCAAAGGTTTTTTTCAGAATTTAATTTGATAGGACTGCAGGGATGCAGAGCTCCATGTTACTGGGGTCCGGGCTCCAGAGGGCATATTATAAATTAGAAAATATGTTACAAAAGTGTTTCTTTAATTTATCATCAGGAAAAACACAAGGCTAAAAAATGATACTTAACGTAAGCTGTGACAGGCTTAGAAGTCATGACTTTGAAGAAAAAGCAATAAGGGTTTACATTTACCATCAGTTTCGCTACTAGCTTCATAGGGCTCATCTCATAACTTAACCACTTTGATATGGACATATGACAGCTCATTTTGACCATAGACCGTTGCTTCCTAGACATTTCCATAGGTAGTTCCAGAACCCGGCTAGGTGATTTGTAGGTCCCAGCATAAAATGATAATTACAATATCTTTTCAGAAAATATGAAGTTTATATACAGCAATGTCAGAAAATTACTTCAGGTGTCAGTCCTTTTGAGGTGGTGTATGTGAATATGCAGTTGCATGCAGGTGAACCAGTCTTGCAGATTCATGTAAATGTTCATGGTTAGATAGTTACTAGGAAAATGGAGGTGATTTTTCAGAACACGCTGAAGTTATTGATAAAGGCAACCAGTGCTGGATCACCTGCTGCTCCAGTTTGTGCCGTGGGCCACAGTAACTATTAAGTTGTCAGTCTGCACTCCAGTTTGGTAGCCCTAACATGGAAAGTCATCTCAGTTTGGTTTTCCCAACATGTGTTATTCCCCTTAGGTTATAATTTTGCAAATTTTAGCAAATGTGAGACAATGAAATAACATGTATGTCAAAATACTATCTATAATTTTTGACATTTTATGGATGTTAGGTGCTGACACACTACCGTAACAAAATGGTGCTTTTTAAAGTGTTGCATGATATTCCCTCTCCCCAATTCAAGTATTTTACATTTTAGCTTGCCATTCAATGCTCTAGCAATCTCAGACATTTCATTTCCAATATTATTTCCTACCCTTCCTCTCTATCCGTCTTATGCTAAAACTTGTCTCAAACTATATTCTGTGATAACTATCCTCCATGCCTTTGCTTAAGCCTTTCCTCCCACTTTACATTCATTTTGCATTCATTGCATATCTGTGAAGTACACGCTTCCTTCAAAACCCAGCTCACAAGTCACTTTCTACAAGAAGCTGTCTGACACCATTAGCTCTATGTGATACATCTGCATCTTTCTGGCAGTGCTTGTTATTTCTGATTAACATTATCAATATGAAAAATCACCATTTATCCTCTCCAGACTTTAAACTTTTTATATGCCTGTCACACATGTACTTCTCCAGGAAAATCTTAGGAATTGAATAGTTAGTAGAAAGACAAAATGATTCTTTGAAAAACAGTTTCTGTACTTTTATGTTATCATTTTTCTAAATACCTATAAAACTGGATATATATTATAATTGTGTTCACTCTATATTTGTTGTACATTTCTGATCTCTTCTGAACTACCCTACCAACAAATGAATTGAGTAGATTTTCAGAATGAATCCATACTCATCAACTCATTGATCAACCTTGTTCTAAATGAATTTTTGTAAATAAAAATATAAATGTATTTCTATAAATAGAATCATCCTTGAGATATATTTAGCTTGATAAAATTTAGTAAGTATACTTTACTCTCTAGAATGTTCTGTTAAACATATGAAACAATGGGCTTAAAAGTTAAATATGAGTGAGCCTTAAACCATAATTAAACATATCCAAATCTGGCTTTTTTTATGTTTCAGAACTAATGGACTTGCTTTTTTTAAAATATTGAAAGTAAGGGGTTCATTAATTTTTCACCTTCAGCTTAATGGAAATTTGACAAACAGTTCACTCCTGAAAGCAAATACTAAAAGCAGGACTTTATAGGCCAGCAAGATTAATTTATAGAGAGTTATTTTTAAAAAGTGGTTTCTGAAGACAAAAAGTGAGGCAAATTTCATTTTTGTACATTGAGGTTTTGAATAAAATCAAATGCATTTTATTCATTTACATTTTAGAACACATTTATGAACTATAAGAATCCATTTACTATGAGCAGAAAATCAAGTGGACTGTGTATCTTGATGCAAAGAGTATCATAAAGCAAATAATTTGACATTGTATCACTCTAATTTTTAGACTGCATCATATGTAATAGCCTATACATCAGTTATGTTCAATAAATACTGGCAGATACCAACTTTTATTTTAGTACATACCTAGTCCTATTTTTACATTATTTATGTTTGTAATCTAGTTAATGATACATTTTAATAGTGTGTGTACATATTTATATATTTTAACTTATATATTATATACATATACATATATGTACATATACATATATGTGCATGTACATACATACAAAC